GTTCTTGTTTCTTTGCGTGTGTCTGTCTTAAAGGGATTGTTTCACACACACATGTTTTAAGCATGAATACTCATAAAAGGAAAGGCAGAGGTACATATAAAGATTGAAAGTAAATAAGGTTGACATAATAACAATAGAGGTGGTCTTTGTTTAATGACTACTTTTGGGACTGGAGACTTGGTTGATAAGCAAACTGGTCACTAAGTGAAACTTTGACTGGGAAGTGATCTGACCTCAGCTTTCCTTTGTGTGAAGGTCATAATTGTGAGGATTGGTCACAAAGTTACTGTTTCATCACTGCAAATCAGTGGTGGGTTCCTCTCGGTTCAGCCCGGTTCTGCCGAGCCGGTAGCGGTGACGATATGATGTCACCGAACTGGTTCCAGGCCCCCGCCCTGCCCCCACGTTATTCTTACCTTTTATTTGGCCCCACCCCCAATCTATTGCCTCCTGAGTCCCAGCTGATTGGCTAGAAGGAAAAAAACTGTTTAAACTATTGCCGCGGGGCTTCAAAGGGCCGCCCTACAGCTGATCAGTGTTAAAAGGCAGTGTGGTGGTAGATCGGTGCTTCCAAAAACAAATGAGTAGACCGGTACCTGCAAAAATAAATGGGTAGACCAGTGTCTCCAAAAACAAATGAGTAGACCGGTGCCTGCAAAAATAAATGGATAGACCAGTGCCTCCAAAAACAAATGAGTAGACCGGTGCCTGCAAAAATAAATAGATAGACCAGTGCCTCCAAAAACAAATGAATAGACTGGTGCCTGCAAAAATAAATGGGTAGACCAGTGCCTCCAAAAACAAATGAGTAGACTGATGCCTGCAAAAATAAATGAGTAGACCGGTACAGCTCTGCAAGCAATTAAAAGCCTGGTAGACCAGTACCTCTGCTAAATCCTAAAGAATTGTCACATGACCATCAAGCCACGCCCACAAAATAAACTACGCCCACAGAACCGGTAGTAAAAAATTTTAGAACCCACCTCTGCTGCAAATGGTTGTAAAAGAAGGCCGTCACTTAAATGGAAATTATATGTAGTACAAATTGCATAATGTTTGAAACAGTTTAACTTAAATGGTTCCATTTAAATTAAGGTTCCAAATAAATTAAGCAATGATGATGACGATGACAATTTCTATACAAGGTATGTTTGCCATGTTTATCTAGGAGAAGGAAGTTTCTGCAAGGGGAAAAAAGGTAGTTTGCACCACATACCAATATTTTTTCCCCCAGTGCAACAGGACATTGGAAATATATTAGAATTCTCTGGAAATTGAACAGAATGGAATCAAATTTGATATGACAAAAGAAAACAGCTAAAAAAAGGCTGAGCCATTTTAAGCGTATGGAAAAATCTAGATCTGTTCTGCATCATTTTCCTAACTTGTTATTTTTTTACCAACCCAACTAAATGCTTGGAATAACGTACATAAAGGAGTTTAGGATTTTGTCTGACCATCTATCTGTAAGCAGGATAACTCTCCAAAATCAAAATGGTATGGGATCAGGTTTGGTGTAGGAGGAGAAGCCAGGAAAAACAAAAGATCGAGTCAGAAAATGGGACTAAAATTGAAGGCTGCTCAGAAAATACTGTAATTCCCTCAATGCATTGCTATGGTTCTTGGTCAACGATTTGGAATGCTTCCAACAATTCCATTGTTAACCCCTCATCCCCCCTTATAATTTGTCTCAGAGTCAAACTGCTATTAACGGATTCAAAAGAATTCTAGAAATCATGTTCTGCCTGCTTGCTCTACTTTATTTTTTAAGACTTAAAAGATTAAATTCCACCTTCAAATTCTCCTAGCCATATAGTTATGTAGCTCATGGAATGACAGAATCAACATAAAATCTCTTTCTGGAGATTCCTTATATTCCCTGTTAATAGGAATTAATATTCATTAATAGATTAATCTTGTGGGTGAAAATGTTTATAATTAAAACATAGACTTGATCATTTTTCTTGGATAAACATCCTTTTTCCAATTTGATTCCCAGAAGAGCATTATAATTGTCCAAAGACAGACATTATTTTAAAAAATAATGCTACCCTAAAATGTGTTTGCAAGGTCACCCCAAAAAGGTTTATAGTAGTGTGACATTTCATATTTGCTTTTATTTCTTCTTAAATGAACTTTTTATTTCTTAAAAATAAATTTATTATTTCTTAGGACATAAAGAATTCAAATAAATAAAATGGACCCTGTGCCTATAGCAAGGATAGATGGACATTATTAGAACAATTGTCACTCATTCTATAGAGTCTATAGCCGTGATGGGGGACCCTCCCCAGGGTCCTAGAAAGGCTCTGGCCTCGGGAGAGCGAAAAACGGGCCTACCAGGCCTACCGTGCCACTGCATGCCAAAAGTGGGGGGAGCACGGCGGGACCACGCACACATGTGCAGGGGCAGGCCACATTGAATTAGGTGTGGGCATGTGCGTGACCCCCCCGTGCTCCCCCACTTTTGGCATGCAGTGGCACGGTGGGCCTGGTAGGCCCGTTTTTCGCTCTCCCCAGGCCAGAGCCTTTCTAGGACCCTGGGGAGGGCAAAAACAGCCTTCCCTACCCCCCCAGAGGCCAGAAACGGCCCATTTGCTGACTTCCGGTGGAACCAGACAGACTATTTTTTTGCTCTCCCCAGGCTCCAGAGCCTGGGGAGTAACCCCCGTGCTCCCCCCGATTTTGGCACGCAACGGCAAAAAGGTTAGCCATCACTAGTCTATAGAGTCCATCTATCCCTGCTATACTTCTATGATTATGAACACTTTTATTATCTATTATTCTAAAACTATTATTTTTGTACAGGAGTGAAATAGTTTGGTAAATGAGTGAAAGCATACGGTACATGAACGGCAGTGAGAAATCAAGCATAATCTAACTTCAGTAGGGCGAAATTACCACTGGCAGTATTTTTCACATACTTAAATAAACAGTGTAAAATCTATTTTGGATTGCAGCCAGATTCGAAGGTCTGTTCCTTCTTAGAATGTCTGAAGAGGGATTTGGAGGGTACTATTTATGCAACTGCCAACTAATGTATACTATATATATATATATATATATTATATGCCAACTAATATATACTATATACCGTGTGTGTGTGTGTGTGTGTGTGTGTAAACATATAGTAAAGATGTCTTTCTACTCACATTGATAGACATCTTCTCCAACCTGAAACTTTTAGACATGACTTTAATCAATTTGGGACATTAGCCTGGGAAAGTTGAAAATGCATGCTGATATAATATCAAAACTGAAAACTTGCTTATGAGTTAGTCCTGATTTACATAGAGTTACAAATTTGAGCTGCAGAAATCAAGACCACTTCTAGTTGGCAGCAAAGAAAATCCAGAAGGCTATAGCTTCCTGCTGCCATCTTGTGGTTATCTGGATTTTTGCAGCTCAGATTTTGCAGTCTTAAGTATAAAGAAATTTTATTTTAATTACATGCAAAGAATAGGTGACTCTTATATATGCTTACATTGTTTAAATTCAGTACTTATGCAGCTGCTTCCCACTGATGTGAACATAAATGACTCTAGAAATGTAATTCCCTTTGACATGTCTTTTACATGTGTTCCTAGATTAGTAATTTTAAAATTATGTATACAGTTAAATACAAGCAATTAAAGTAATATAATTTCATTTGCATAATTTAAGATTCTTCATAGCATATTGAGTAATACTCAACTCTCTTTCTTGACTACATTAGGTGTTTTAATTTAAAAGCATATAAGATGAACCACAGAATTAATCACTGTTTATAACTGGACAAATTAGCCAGTATTGGCTGTGAAATTTCATTTTGAAATGAAGCAGAACTTATTAATGCATGTTTTGACATGAAAAAAGTATGAATATTAGATAGAGTTTCAAAAGGACACACTGGCAGTTTATTTATTAAATTATTGTGCTGTTCAATTCACTGTTGAAGTGACTTGGCAACTTACAAATTGATAAAAAGGAACATAAAACAATTAAAATTAATATAGATATGATAGAAAATAAAAACCAAGAGAATTGGCAGCATGGGGTAGGATCTTGTTTCTACCCTGTTAATTATCCCTGGCATAGAGCAACTGTCTTAGTTACGAATCTTTCATTTCCTTTACATAAATCAAAATTTGAAATTTTGTAAAATAATGAGCACGGAACAGAATAGAATTAAAAACCCTCCTATACTGATTTATCCTATGGGTTCCGCATTCCCATGAACCTCTCTATTGGTATCATTTTACATATGAGAATTTGTGTAACAAAGTTCTTATTTTTTTAATTAAGCAAATTATTTCAAAGTAATCCATTACATAATTCAATAACTAGATCTAACTTGGCTTTTGAAACTAACTACAGGAGCTAACCCTCAGTGGGCTATCCATTTCTTATGGCTAGTAAAACACCCATGGGGGTTAGAAAATGTTCTCTGGTACTTCATAGCAGCTTTTAGGAGCAAAGAAGATGCCATTGCTGCTCTGTGTTAATGGCTTATTTACCAACCACTCTTTTTCTTTTAAAATGAATATATGTAACATTTTATTGTGTAGAATCAAAAGGCAGGAGAAGCTCCCCTTTATTACTCAGTGGTTTTGGCAACTTTAATATATGAGGACCTCAACTCCCAGAATTCCCCTGCCAGTATGGGTTACCACAGAGCCATGGTGGCACAGTGCTTAGAATGCAGGCTAATTCTGCTGACTGCCAACTGCCAGCAATTTGGCATCTCGAGTCTCACCGGCTCAAGGTTGACTGAGCGCTCCATCTTTCCTAGGTCGGTAAAATGAGGACCCAGACAGTTGGGGGCAATATTCTGACTCTGTAAACTGCTTAGAGAGGGCTCTCAAGCACTGTGAAGTGGTATTTAAGTCTTAAGTGTTATTGCTATTGCTACGAATGCTAGTAAAAGTTACCAATGTTAAAGTTATTGATGTTGACCGGTTTATAGTGTCTAAGTACCAGTTGATCATAAAGGCTTTCATTATTTTGTTTGTCTTTCACAGGGTGAAGTGAAGGATTAGTTTCCCAGTTGAACTACTATGAGGTCAGAAGCCTTGCTGCTATATTTCACACTGCTACACTTTGCTGGGGCCGATTTCCCAGAAGATCCTGAGCCAATCAGTATTTCGCATGGCAACTGTAAGTATGAAAGGCGAGAATATTTTTTTTCTCCATCCATTCCCAATATCGGGTCATAGATTATCGCCAAGCAAGATTAAGGACTGCAAGCTTTAGTAGGGCAAAAACATCCTTTCCTTTGCACCCTCTCCGGGCATCTACAGTAGATTTTTTTCATATTTCCTATCACTATTTGTTGATGCAAAACAGTTCACAAAACCACTGTGTTCTGGGCCAGTCTATGAATGCAGAAGAACTCTTAGTTATCATTTCTGTCTCTAAATCTTATTCTTCTCCAGACTCATGTGATTCTCATGTTAAACTTTCCAGTCACATCTTTTTCTGAAAAAAATATTAAGCAATATTTCTTTCATGACCAAAATGAGATGGCCAAAACAAAAGCAGTTCATTCCCTGAAACATAAAGAATAAAGCTTTGCTATTGATCCAAACCAGCACAATTCTGAACATAATGTTCAGAACTAAAAGATTATACATTTAACTAACTTGCTATCTAGCTATTTACTTATTCACACATATGTAGCAATAAATGTACCACTTCTTTAGCCTTTGCAATTCTAATGTAAAACAGAACTAAAGAAAGCAAAATAGTTTCCATTTGAGCCAATATAAAAGTGGCAACTTGCCTGGAAGAAGACAGTTAGCATCCTACTCTATTCTCCATTGGGATGCAAATGCATCAGAGAGAGAGCATTTGCAATGTTTAGCTTTAAAAAGGTAGGTTATAAAAGGCTTAAATGTAGAACTTCACTGTCACAAGTGCTACAAATTGAGAGCCTACTCCTTAAATATTATAAATTAAGTATGAGAACCCCACCGGAATGCACTGAAGAGTTTCTAACTATTTCATAGTTCATAGTATTTAATGGGGATGTTCTGTAGTTAAACAAAATAATAAATGAAGGATCCAAAATGTTTTTTTTTACTTAGATAAACATACAGGAGAAGTTGCAGTTAGGCAGCAGAGATCTCCCAAGATTCTGTTTCATCATGGTTACACACTTATAAATCTCTTTTTGAAGAAACAATCTTTAATCGACCTTTAAACACACGGTAGACCAAATGTGTCTGGCCGACAGGCGGCAAATGACTCTGAACAGCCAGTAATGTGGCCCCACAAGACCATAAACTTTTAACATTATTATGTGATTTATATAGATTGCAGTAACTATATTATATATTTTCTATGCAGCTCAAGATAATTCCTCTTCACTCAGTGTGGCCAAGGCAAACCAAAAGATTGAGCACCTATGCAGTAGACCAACTAAAATAAATATAAATTGACATTGTCCTGGGCTTTCTTGAGTTTAAAGATTGAAGGGTTCCCCATAAGAATGTATTTGGTGCAAGCCTTAAAAGTGACCACTGAATTTGATTTGAGAGCAGGGTGCAAACTCATCTCATTTGACATAGACAATCCACATGGAAGTCTTTACGATTATTATTATTATTATTATTATTATTATTATTATTATTATATTATTATTATTATTATTTTATTATTATTAATAATAATTTATCTCTTTGCATTTTGGATTATTAACAGTCATTCAAATGTTTTTGCTTTTGTTTGTTTTGGTTTGTTTAGTAGCCAAAAAGGCTCTATTTTTGTCATAGTGTATTTAAGCTTTAAGAAGTATATGAACACAAACCTATTAAATTGGACAGTGTATCTATTGCTTCTAAAAGTTTACAAGGTTTGCCTCCATTTGAGGGCACTTGAGACATTTTGTAACTTAATAAAGTAAAACAGAATTTAATTTACTTCCAATGAAATCCTTACAAGACAGTCTGCAGAGGAAATAAAAATAAATTCTCTTCACTAGTACAAAACTGAAATTATTGAAAAGTTCGTTGAATGAGTCTGTCTCATCCTTCCTAGAAATATGATTAGTGTGTTGCCCTTGTAAGCAGCCTGTAGTCCTGTCCATTTCTTCTAATCACAAGACAGTGTGGCTATTGGACAAATTGATAGGTTCCAGGAGAGCATTTTATCCTGACAGATCAACTTCACAAAGCTAAATTCTGTTTGTTGCAAAGATTGACAAGAAAGCTACTTCAAAGTGTTAAATATTGAAATCCCCAAAGGAAATTGTCTTAACATAGGCAGTCTAGATATGTTAAACTACAAATATTACACCCCTATGAACGATAGGTAATTGTCAAGGATGATGGGAGATGTATGTAGCATTCTGAAGGGCATTATGTTCTGAAGGAAAGGAGCAGCACAGTGGCCTAGAGGAGAAGACACTCACCTCCTACTTGGAAAGTTAAAAGTTCAATCCTAGACAGCGGCAGATGTTTCTCTATCAGGGTGCAAAGAGAAAATATCTGCTGCAAACTCCGCATAGGCATCACGAAGGCATCTGGCCAGTAAATGCTCAGTTCCATTCAAGCGCCCCCCAACTCCACCCTAAATAAAAAGATTAAAGGGTCATTAAAAAAATCATGTTCTGAAGGAAAAAAATGATGATGATGATTGATGATGACGATGAATATAACAGCATATTTTCTTACAAATCAGAAGATTGTGATCAATTAGATTGTTGTGTGCAATTTAACTACAATCAGAACCATGTTAATTATAGCAACTAGGGATCTGTCTCTCACTGTCCTTATTTTTTTATTCTTTCAATCTTAATTGCTTTTCATAGATACAAAACAGTATCCAGTGTTCGTGGGTCACAAACCGGGACACAACACTCCACAAAGGCACAGACTTGACATTCAGTTGCTCATGATAATGGACAGAACCCTCTACGTTGCTGCTAGGTTAGTATTGTTCAATAAATGCCTTGGTTTTAGCATATATACCCTGTTTCCCCAAAAATAAGACATCCCCTGATAATAAGCCCAATCGGGCTTTTGAATGCATGGCAGTAAGGCCAAGTGTAGAGACCACACACACACAAAGGTTGAGGATGTATGTGGTAACTTTATTGTCTTACATAGTGACATTATATAGTTTGTTACTTTCAAGTTACAGTGTACTTGGCAGCATGTCATTGGCTACAGAATCTTCCAGGTAACTAGAGTCTTTGGTTAACCATTACTGCTGGCTTAAGCACTTCTAATATTTGGCTATAATTAAAATCTAACACACATCCCACTTCCTCTCCTCCTGTTCCTCTTGTTTACAGAATTAGGGTCTTATCTTCTAATGTAATTTCCTGGTGCTTACGTGCAAGTAACCTTCCTTATCTGAGGTTTGCCATCCAAGACAGGAAAATCCCTGCACATATGCAGATTGCAGATTCCTACAGCCAAGCGCTTATTTCAGGGTTCAAAAAAATATAAGACAGGGTCTTATTTTGGGGAAAACACAGTACAAGCAGAATTGTGGGGATTGGCTTCATTAATGTTTTCTTTGTGTGATATCTGGCATTTTAGCAAAATTTGGATGAAGTTTTATGTTTATTTCTTCCTCAAACTGCTCACATGCTCTCAAGTGGCATAGTTGCCTGTTCAATTTCTCCAAATTTCTATCCTAAATTCTCTTCAACTGTCCAATAAAAGAATATAAAAATGGCAGATCAGTTGGTGTCTCACTCTTGGTCTTCCTTTCCTTTATTGCAATTGCTTTTCACATGGAAAGTGTGATGGCAGTTGGTTTCTTTAGGAAGCAAGAAGATGCAAGTTCTGGCCACTGAAAAAACACTGCAAAAATGGCTTCGGTCCACTTCCCAAGCTGCGCACCAGCCCCATGGCATTGTGCAGGCAACACTTACATAAGTTCAATATTCACCTATGAGGCAACATTGTTTTCATAAACTTAAGAATCCTGTGGTGTATAGTTTGAGAACATGGTAGCCTTAGGAAGGAAAGAAAATTGCACCAGTCCATTCTGTCAATGGTGGAATTGTGTTACACAATGTTCAATTAGATTTATTTCTAATTCAAAACAAGAATAGTACACATTACAGACATTATAAAGTGCCCTGTGAATTTGGGACCATCACTTAATCACTATCATAAATCAACCTCACACTGTATTTTCAAGCTCACCTCCAGATTCAAACCTGATCTATGTATTAGGCTGACATTGTCACTATTTTTTTGTTGTCTGTTAGTTTTGATATAATATATCAAGTTCTTCACATTGATATTCTTCAAAGAAAGTTATTGGGATTTGTAGTATAAGAAGTACTCTGCATATTACAATGGAAAATTGGGACTCTTAACTCTTCTTAGTAGCATGATAGTGCATCATGCCCATTCACTACAGGGCACATAAATTTACATGCTGGAAAATTATTCCTACAGAGCTAAACCATTGATTTATGATAATCTTCCCTAACCTGACATTTTCCAGATGGTTTAGATTACATCTTCCATCATTTTCAGCTGGGGATGGGATGGGAATTGCAGTCCAGCACATCTGGAGAACTTCAGGTGGGCTGATCAAAATAGAAACAACTTATTTCTAGGACTGATTGGTAGGATCAAGATAACTAGTGAATGCTTCCTGGACCATATTGGAAGAGTTTTGTTTTGAAAGTGGGGCCAGGTTGCTTTAAGTAGCTGAAAGAAGGCCATTGAAAGCTTAACTCATCAATTTATTCCTTTGAATGGAAGATTGCATTACAGTTATTTAGCAGATTGCTTCTATAGCATAGTCTTGGGTCTTTCATGGGCTATGAAAAGGATGTTTCAGGTTGCCCATTCCTATTTTTATCTGTATCTGAAGTGAACAGATCTGACTCTGGCTAGAAATCTTAGAAAAAATAGCAATAATTTTATGATCGCAGAGCCCTTCCAGATGTTTTTAATGAAAGTTTTTACAGTTCCTTCACATTAGCGATGCTGGCTGAGATTGATGGAAATTGAGGTCCCAAAAATCTGCAGACTACCAGGTTGCTTAATCCTGCACAAGAAGAACGTTCCCTCAGAATTGAAAAATAGGAACAATTGGCAGTTGTTCTATAGACTGTGAAAAATCAAGCTCTCCCCATCAACTTACACATTTGGTATGCTAGTCAGAATGCATTTATATGCCTTCACTTGCATTGCCTTAGTAATACTGCTGATCAGAAGGCACTAGCTGATAGCTTCAGCTGTTACCAAACCAATTTACATATTTATCTAGTATATAAGAACTTAAAAAGAGTCTCACTGGGCCAATCTAGGCCAGTATTCTGTATTGGACAATGGCCAATTATAGGAATTCAGGAAGCATAGCAACTTGAGCATGAAGCAATAGCCCTCTGTCACGGTTGCTCCCTTGCAGCTGGTATGTACCATGTGGTAGAGCAGTAAATAGGCATAGTAGTTACTCATTCATTTGGAATATTGGCATCATTCTCCTGTGTTTATAAAAACAACTAACTGCCTGTTTTGGAAAATAAGCAACAATGTTGTACATTCCGCAAAGTTATAAAATTAAATTTTAACGATGGTAGTTCAACCATTTATTTTTTAAATTATAGCAAAGAAAGAGCCAGACAGAAAAGAATGGAAAAATATGTGTATTTTTATATTTGGCACATTTGAAATTTATCTGTATCATAATGTGCAAATTATAAGCAAACTTTTTTGTTTTATCTTCAAAATCTCATACTGTGTGGGGTTGGCCAGTCTCTAGCAAATAACTTTCAGGGATTTTATAAAAAAACAAACAAACAAGTCACAATTAGGAGCAAATCTTTTTCAGTAATGTGAAATAAAATATAGACTGTGAAAAGGATGGATGTCTCCTAAAGCCAGTGGCGTTTCTAGCACATTTGACATCCAGAGGGGACCATTTTTAAAATATCCACACCAGATCAGTACTAAGAGACTGTTTTGCTATAATGGTTAAGGCAGAGGTCTTCAAACAAGCATAGCTGGCTGGAGAATTCTGAAAGTTGAAGTCCACAAGTCTTAAAGCTGCCAAGTTTGAAGACCTCTGGGTTAAGGCCTCAGACCAGAAACAGGAAGTTCACACTTCTTGTTCCACTGTAGTCACGCAGTCAGTTGGATGATCTTAGGTCAGCTGTTTTTCTTAGTTCTAGGAAGAAGGACCTGGAAAGCTGCTTCTAAAAAATGCTGCCAAACAAATTGCAGAGGGTGGTTGCCAGGATTCAAACTACCTCGAAGGCCCAGCCACCAGCAATATGACTCCCCACCATTAGCCCCTTTGGGCCTGCAGCTGATGCAGATATTTCCACCACCACCACTTGATATGCCACTGCCTAAAGCACTTCTAGAATTGCTTGAATGGATATTAACTGCTTAGCAGGTCATTATTAGCCCTCTACTTTGACATCTCGGGTTTTCTTAATTGATTCAAAATGTGTCGTATACTGTGCTAAAAAAAAAACCCTTTAAGAGCTTCTATATAAGGACCTTTTTATGTAACCATATGAAGACAAGCAGTAGTCTCTACATTAGCTGGTAAGTGTGTATACACTTGCTATCCATGGGAAACTAATATGCAGTAAACATCTCACTGCACATTTTGTTACTCACCTGGGGTGATTTCAGCTTGCATGCAAATAGTTCGTCTCTAGTGATGCCTTCCTGTGACCAGTTATTGTGGATAAGTAGGGGAATTATTGCAAAAGGATTTCTAGTAGCAACCTCTTTCAGAACTAAATGTGAGCATATGTTAATCTGTATTCTATTGCAGAAGATTTAACTTGGTTTTCCATTAAAAATTAGGCCAACTTAAAATAGTTACATGAAATGGCAACTGAAAATGGAATTAGTAAAAATTATTACAAAACAGTATTATTCAAAACGAGAGGCATTAAATTAAATAAACTGCTTAAAAGATGGTCTCAATAACTTGAACACGTGAAGATGTTAATTGGTGATTTGAAAGTTATCCTGAGTTCTTGCCATCTGCTGGACTTGGGCATCCTTCAGTAGAATAAGTTTCTTTTAAAGAAACCTAACGAATATTTTCAAACGCTAATAAACCAATCATGCATCAAGTATTTAATTAAGCTGAAAATGCAAACATCATATTAACTGAAAAATCCGCATTGGACCATGTCTAAATTGTGTCTAGGCTAAATGTATTTTTATAGAATTGGAAAGGTCCTTTTAGGTCAAAACTCCAACAGCTGCTCAGAGGACATTCTTGACAGATTGCTGTCTAACCCTTGCTTTTATGGTTAATTTTTTTTTTCTGGCATTACGTTTGGAATCTGTCTTATTGTGATTTAGATTCCATGTCTTGTACTCTAAAATGACAGAGAACAATTTTTGACCTTTTGTCTTACAGGAAAGGCAACTTTGACCAAACTGATCATTTCCTAAACCTCCTTTTCCATAAAGAGGTCCACTATTGATCACTGGAGGGCCCTATTCTTGCTCTTCTTTGCTATTACTGCTTCTTTCTGTTCTCTTTCTGAATATAAGAACGCTACTCCACTAGCTGCACTGAAATTACACAAAAATGTCTCTAGTCCAAAAATTATTCTTTTTTTAAAAAAAGAACAAGGATAAAATGGAGCAAAAGTCCCTTTCATCTTTAGGTAATAAACTTTAAAAAGTGAATCACATTTTGATAACTATTAAGAATGAAAATTAATAACTGCTCCTGCTTTGGCAGCGTGGCGTAACAGTGACAAATAGGAATTCCAGTGAAAGGAATTTAATAAGCAACTTTGTATGTATTGCATTTTTTTTACCCAAAATAATCAAATTAATCTATATATATAAAAGCGAAAACAACTCACTCCGTAATCACGAAATCTCCAGAACCATAAAGCCTACAAACTTGAAATTTGCCACGTATTTTTTTCTTGGCTTCTAGGTGCTCACTAAAAAGGATTTTTTGAAATGAC